GGCGAGCAGAGATGTCAGGAGCTTTATCGGCCGGATTTGAAAAATACAAAAGTGTCCGAGCTTACGGGAACCGACCCCACGGCCTCTCGCCTGGAGAACCCACTCGCTACCTGTTGCGCCGCACTGCTACGTTTCACAATAACTGTCTCGTTTATATGTAAGGACGCTTCCACGTTTCTTCGCGATAGCATGTAAAACAACTACGCGGGGATAAATCCCTCCATAACTCCGCTCAGAGAATCGTTCCGCAAATTTTGAAGACAGATTGAGTTCACTGTCTCAAGACGCGTACAACGGTGTGCACCTCATTGGAAATGGTTGACCTTTTCCTGTTAGAACTAATGTCTCACTGCTACTAGGACCGGCGCTATGAATTTCGTGACAACACACACATGCACACACGCGGACATAGCCGCTTATATATGGTAAGATATGAGCCCAACTAACTAACAGAGCAAGCGGATGCGTCGACGAATGCTGAAAGTTGTACTCCAGCTTTGACGTAGTCTATCATCGCACGAAGATATTCCTCCATTGCGCTCCAGGGAGTAGACATCGGAGTCTGACTGACTAATGTGCGGACGGCCCGTGTGAAAGTCCAAACTGCTTTCGACCATAGGTATGAGATGATGACATTGTGTGACATGAGCGACACCGACTTCTTTGCGAGATCGGCAGCCTGATTCATTTCCTTCGATTTCGTGTGTGGGCTGCATCTCCTGTTGGCGGTGCAAGAGCAACGACCTTAACTCCGTTACGAGTGGCTGTGGGAATGCTGAGGCAAGGCACCATCCCTTTCCAAAGGGAGTCACAGTCGACTCCGTACCTGCGAGACGCACTTGCTCCCGTGGTGTCGAGCAAGTTGGGGAATTCCAAGAGCTTCCAATACACTCTTTTGTCAAATCCCGTTATTGTTTGAAAGCGTGGCTCACATTTCTGGAGTCATCTAGTAGCAGTAAGAGCGTTCTTTGCTGCCTCGGAGTAGTCGTCATAACATCTTCCCAGGAGTTCATGTTCGCCAGTCTCACACCTTCGTTGTTCAGCTCATTCAGCCCGGTAACGAGGAGTCCGTACCACCATCGTGGGGCAAGCTCAGCAGAGAACCATAGAGTGCGAAACTGCGAAAACATGGTCACAACAATGTTTATGTGAATGCTTTCTGGCTTCAAGATGTTCATAAACGAATACTCAGGATTAGTCATCATGAAACGTCTACGATCATCGTTACGTTCACTCCAGAAAATAGAAATGAGACGAGAAAACCAAACATCGTATCAAACCGGATTTCATTGAGCGTCTCAGCACTGAACCAGATCCTTCAGCCCTTTCTCAATCGAACAGTTAAAGACAGCTCCCGCGATAAAAGTGTCAAGGATAATTGCTGATCAATTATGAAACAGTAGCTGATAAGTAATTCCTCAATGAAGGAAAAAAGAAACAAGAGCCCTCAAGAACACCATAAACAAAATCGCGACCTGACAGTCACACCTCCCTGCGGTCTCTGTGCAAGCCCTGGCTCACAAATCACTTTGTCACATCTCCCAGTAGTGGATATCATCGAATGCGAAGAAAAGAAAACAAAAAAACAGAAACATAGAGGAAAAACTCTTGAAAAGAAAAGGAAACATTTAAAAAGCCGGCGTCCGAACTTAGGGTTACGGTAGCGAGCATGTTTTAGTGTAGTGAAGTGCGTCGAGCTTTTGCACCACAGAAATTGCATCATTCGTGATTTTTACGCGTTTTACCTTACGAGATGGGTTGCTGTTGACTGTACGTGCTCCCAATG